TCGGTCTTCAGAATAGGTTGCCTTCGGATGTTGTGGAAGCAGTAAATTTAAGTGAGTTTAAGAGAAAGCTTAATAAGCATATGAATAACAAGGGTTGGCTTTAAAATTTTCATTTCATTTATTTTTTTAAATTTATTTATTTAATAGTTTCAGTTTAGTTTAAAGGATGGGGCAGCCCATGATGGACCAATAGGTCTCTTGTTGTCCCTAAACATCATGTTATGTTGTATATTATGTTAATTATCTCCATGTTAAAAAACAGCATCGAGCTGACAAATATCCATTCCTTATCATTTTCAGTCATGATATTTTGGCAGTTTTAGTCTATTAATTGAGACTGGTATGTAATTGCAAGACATATTTACAAATAAAAATTTAATTAATCAAATCTAATTTTAACTTTATTATTTTATATAATCACCATACTTTTATAAAATCACATCTAATATCTTGTAAATTACAATTTACAGTAACATTTATAATTATTAACAAGACAGTCAGCTCAAAAAAATTAAAAATAATATTAACAGTGTGATGCTTATTTCTAAATTTAATACCATTGAAATCTATGTTTAAAAGCTCAATCGATTTTACTAAATTTGGAAATGAGCCTTACACTCCTACCAGTAATAGTAATACTAGTAAAATGATAGAATAACAATTGATATATCATTGTCTTTTATTTTAGTTTTATCCAAATATGTGTGATTATTTTTTATAATAATTAACATTGCATAACTATTATTTCCCAGCTGAATTTCACACTCTAAATTGGCAAAGTCTGCTTTTACCAGTAAACAAATTCCTAATATTTTACTTTAAACTTTAGGAGCTTAGTTCTATAATGGTCTAACAGTAATAGTAACCTGAGTAAGGCTTAAGTAAGACTAAGAGTGATGCTGTGAACACTTACTTAAGTTTGTAGCCTTGCTCCTAGACCCAAAGCTTGACATACGATCAAAGTTCTTATCCACGTTTATATATATATATATATTGCAAATCACATCAACTTATTTACCTTCTATAAATATTTTTGAAACACATATACAAATATGACTATTGTTTTTATTTGAATCTCAGCAATGTCGCTCAATTACAACTTCCCAGCCTAAACAAGGCCAGCAATAACAACACGAATAACGAATATATCATTACTTTACCATAAAAACAGAGAGCGAATGCGAACTTAATAAGAGACCATGAAAAAATTACAGCAATTTTAAAACACCATCTGGTTAGCTAAAAGTAAAATGACATTTTGTTTCAAAAAATCTTTAACGTTTTTATTTTATCGAATTAAAGCTTCATAAAAGTTCAATATAATTTCCTTCATTACCAAAGTTAGCTACGCAATTTACTTATTACACACGAAACTACACAATGACAATGTTAGGCCCACATAAGTAAATTAATATTTATTCTATTTTGTTTGTTAACGCAAAACAAAGCAATAAGCTAAAGCTGCTGTGCTCATCGCGATTATTGAAACCCAGTGTGTAGCTCTCAGACATATTGTGTAAGCATATATATATATCTGTAGGAATACGTTAGGTGGGTTAAACTACTTGGCTTGTGGTATTTAACAACAATTGAAGTTTTGTTATTAGCACTTGCATCTAACAAAAAAAAAATCATTGAAATACAGGAAACTTTTACTAGACAATTTCAAATAAACGTTCTATCCTAACTCATAGTAGGGTTATCAAAATTGTTGAAAACTTTTCTTTTATAATGTAATTATAGATCTATATCGAGTATTGTTGAAATTTGAGGATACTGTGTGTAGACCATAATCCCTTAGCAACAAAAATTCGATCAAATGATTGTCTTGTAGTTACCAATAGAACAATGATTTCTTGGACAAAAATAATGTTTACATTTCTTATTATATGTTTAAAAGGAAGGCCTACACTATCCATTTTGAAAATAACACCTATATATAGCGATCAAAATGATCAAAGGCCTGAAGTTTACTTTCGCAAAACTCAAATCAGTAAGGATAAAGTTGAATACTCGAATATTTAAGAAAATAAATGCAAGTTTTAGCAACCAAGATATAAGCTGCGTCCATTTGCAGAATTTTCATCTTGTGATCTGTCTTTATGTTACGATAAGCCCCCAGTGGCATAGCGGTATGTCTGCGGACTTACAACGCTAGAAACTGGGTTTCGATACCCGTGGTGGGCAGAGCACAGTTAGCCCATTGTGTAGCTTTGTGCATAACTTCAAACAAACAAATGTTACGATAAAATACGCAGAGTAACCTATATGATACGAAAAATAAAATTGATGTAATTTGTAATTAATATATATATATATTCAAGGTTAAAGAAACAGCAATCAGTAATAAAAGTTATATTTTATTTCTTTTATTGTAAACGAAATAATTCCTTTACATCATTTAGCCACCTATGCTGATTGTTGGAGATGTGTGATGAAAACACTTTACATTTCACGACCTTATGCGCGCGTGTGTGTGTGTTAGAGAAAATAAATGCTTCATTTGTCACGTTTTGTGGACCTAATGAATAATTCAAGGTTCTAATATCTGGCATGTTACTTTTAGATATTAGTGAAGTATGCTTTTTTCTGTGCCATATTCTGACACTATACTTATAAATATATATATATATATCACATATTCTTTATTTTACAAACTCTGTCACTTTCCAACTTAATTTCAAGAGTTTTTATAATAATTCAAAATTGTATAACCAGTGCAAAATTATGGAATATTCATGGGATAAATTTAGAATTTTAATTTTCATAATTATAAGTAGGTAAATTATTTTCTGATGCTTAAAATATTTGATTTGTACTCTGGGTGATTTCTGACCTTCAACAGTATGTTCAAATTCTTTATTAGAGCCATCATCAAGGTGCGCTGAACAGTAATATTCCCCGTTATCTTCGGGAACAACATTTTTTATGTTAAGAATATCCTTATCTTTGCCTATCTTATATCTTTTGTTGGTGTCTACGTTTTCATCTTTATTACGTTTTTTCCACTCAAACCTTGCATCACTATAAAGCTCCATCTCGTTTTCGGGTGAACAAGAAAGCTTGGCATGTTCTCCTACAAACAACTGATGAACTTTGTGAAAGGAAAGAAAATATATTTAACCATATTTAAAAAAATAAAGAAAAATAAAAAAAAATCAAATATTTTTATATGTTAATGTGTTTGACGCATGAAAATTTATATTTGTGCCGATTTTCACCTTGATTGTAGTAAATAAGATCCCAAAGAAACCCAAAATATACATTTTGATCCCATAAAATCCATTAAAAAAATTTTAAATATAAAGAAATGGAAACATTATCTGGGCGTATTGGACAATGGTGTAACCATACCAAGTTCCGCCGAGAAATTAAGGGACGGCGGTAGATTGAAAAGTGTTTGGATGAATAAGAAGAAACAATAGAAACACGGTATGCCTCTCTGCGGAATCGGAAATGACGTATTTCATTTGTTAAACACAGACTAATAACAAGGAACATGAAAAGTATATGATCATAGATTTGCACAGATGATTACGTTTGGAAGTAAATTGGTAAATATGCCTAAAATGTTTGTACAAATCTTCTTACTTATTTTGTTTATATGTAATAATTAACAAAAGTAGGCGCCATAAAATGAAATAAAAAGAAGAATAGGCGTTGTAAAAGATATTCATATCAAAAAGTTTTTGCCATACAGAGTTAATAGTTTTATACGTGCTGTATTAAGACTTTTAAATATACTGTACAAGATCATTGGTTAAAATAGCATTTTTCTTATTCACTATAAACAAACCTTTGTATATTTACAATAAACTCGTAACCTTTCAACTTTGCATCTCTTGGTGACACAAACGTTTGTTTTTAGTGACGATTTCAACTCTGACTCAAATTCAGTTTTTCTAACAGAGCTGCACGAATTAGTTTTAGTGTCAAACAAAATTTTCACCGAGTAAGACGGTACAGCGACCACTGCATCCATTTTCAGACTTTATAGTGGGGGTCACAGCTCACAAAAAAAAGCATAATTTTGGGGGTTCTTGTCACTTACTCCTCCGTATTTCGGCCAATTTTCATGTGATTTAGTAAAAAGATACTTTTTTACTAATCCCATGCACGAATGTGGGATATGCCCATCTATGGTGGTTTTAGGGGATCAAAAGGTTAAATAAACCTAACATTTTAGGGGTTGTGGTTAATTAGTTAGCGTTGTTTCGACTAATTTATACCAACACTTTTCTACAGACAACACACACTGAGAAACAAAAATGTTTAACTTGCCTATTTTTAGTAATTACAAGAAGTCAAGATGTGTCACCCCCCCCCCAAAAAAAAGATTTTTGACAATTACTTCGGCGTCTTTAGAGCAAGCATTGTCCAAAATGTCATGGTACTACAACACTGTCGTGGTTCCTTTACTTTTACTAGAGAGCCGAGATCCTAAACTGGCAAAAACAGGTTCAAACCACGATTCTTTTCCCATCATTCTTCATGGTTGGGATAACACATCTATGTTCAATGTGCTCTCCAAGTTTCCAGCAAACCCAAACATTCGAAGCAAACAACGCGAAGCTGGATTCATAGTATTACAATGTCCTCCAACTCCCATTGAGAGCCACGTCTTGTATTAACAGCTGTGATGAGCAGCTAATTCAAATCCTTGGTAGCAGCATGTTCATGAAATCATAACACATGTGATGTATTGATGAACGATAAATTTACAACATGACTCAACGTTAAAGTGGACTTCCGGGTAATTAATTTTGACAACCGAACTGATTTCTTCCATATTTACAACTCCACTAATCTTACATAAATTCAACATTTTATCCTCAGTAAATAGGAATATCAGTGGATACGATAACGTGTTTCAGTTTGTTTTAAAGCAAAGCCACAGAGGGTTATCTGCAGCGTCCACCGCGGTTAATCAAACCCCAGATTTTAGCGTTGTAAGTCCGTAGACTTGCCGCTGTCTCACCGGCGGACAAGTGTCTCGAATATTCATGTCACACAATACTTTTCTGGTTGTCTTTATTTTCTTGACATCTTCACTCTACCTAGTGCGATTACCGACATTTATAAGGCCTACAAAGCTTTACTTAACAAACTGAAATTCCCACACAAATTCATTGTAGGACAAATCCGTATCTATGGAAGTGTTGTGCAAATAGTTTTGATAATAAGTTTCCTTGATAGTTTCGTTTTGAGTTTACTTACTGATAAAGTATATTTTATTACAATTTACAGCTTTTACAGCAGGTAAGATTAGTTTTTACAACAGGTACGATGTATCGATCAATGATGCGATCATTATCAAGTACATCACTCGTGTACTTCTGCTTTAATGTTAAAATAAGGCAGGTCTGTATAGAATTAATGAAGATAGTTTTAGAATAGGCAAAAGTTTATAAAATCTTATTTTACTGAAAAAAAAGAGCATGACGAATGTTTTATATTTTTCTACCTGGGGGAAACGTTTAAATATCGTAAACTATTAGCATCGGATTCACATAGTAGTTGGTAAAGTGTAAAGATTCTGTCTGAAGTTTAATATCTTATATTCAAATAAAATCTTTATAGAATTATCCATAATACGAAAAAAAGAAACACGTTTACTTCCATCTATATTCTACAACATTTAGCTAAATATACTTCGAAATTTAGAGGTTTGAAAATAAAAAATAACATGAACATACAGTAATTTCTCTTTACTAATCACTTCTTTGCAGGATCGTGGACAAAGAAATTCAGTAGCATTCGAGTTATCACATAGTGACGTACCTACAAAAGATTGTGACTTGAAATGCTGCAAAAAGAATTCTAAGAAAAATGCTGGACTTGTAAGTGATAATATATATATCTTTATTAATTTATTAACTTTTCCTTTCCACTTCTTTTATTCGTTAACGGCTACACAGGAAATAAGATTCCACTTAAAAATACCAGACCATTTAGATAAATCAATGGAGTGAATTTAACTATCATGATGTTCCCTTTGGGTAAGAAATCGTTTTAGCGACAAATGAAATGTTAAAATTTATTATAACAAAAGTGGCATTTTACAATGAATTGTTCATATGAGGTTCGTTAGCCTGACGATTTTCAAGCTTCATATTCATATTTATGTTATTATTGTTCCTAGTCACTGACGAAAGTGAAGAAACTTTTAGGAAACAGGGGAACAGTACATTCTGCCGTAGTGCTAGAAAGATGTGATGATGGATACATCATGGAACCTACGGAAATATGTAGTAGGTTACGGTTTGTCCTCATTAATACATAGTTTTAGTTAAACTGTGATTAATTCAGAAGGATATATTTATAAATGTAAGCCAATAGTCAATAATTTAAAACTTATCCAAGAATGCTTTGACCAAATGCATAAACACATATACTGG